GTGCATATTTTTCAATTGTCACTTTATGGCGATTATGTGGTGTACTGGTGTGTTTGGCTGGAATGGAACTCCCGTGCCTTTTCAAGAGCTACCTTATCATGTCAGTTGTTGTGGGATAAAGTAGCTCTTTTAGCATCATTGGCTGCTGCAGTTGTCTGAAAAATTGTTCTATTGGGGAGCTTGAGAGAGAAGCCATTTTGAGCTTCTTTCAAAGAAATTGAGTAAAAAAATAAATTATTATTTTTTCAAGTAAATAATCTTTTGCAGCTGTTATATAATCTCTTGTAGCCTTCTTGGATCTTTTGTTGCCTTCTGGAAGAAATAAAAATTCTCTATTCTCTCTATTTGAATTGGAAATACATTGGTCACCCTAGATGGAAGTGGACTTAATGAGGTTTGGTTTTAGATCAGGGTGCTAGATGATGACTTGTTGGAGACTTTTGTAGCGAAATATCGTCTTGATGATTTGGTGTTGTGCTTGCATAGATAAATAAAGCAATTTACTTTTGGTTGTATGATAAATCATGGTATAATATGCTATAAGACCTGCGAATAGCTGTTTAGTTGACAATTTTAATATTAATATATTAATTTTGTCGTGGTTATGATCCTGTCCTAAAATTTAGCCATGTACTATAATTTTTTTTAGCTATCTATGAAAGCGGTTATTTCTAGAATTAAGGGTGAAAGTCATGCTTCCTAAACCAGAACAACAAGCACTTTGCTATTTCAGCTCTGTAAAAAAATTGTCAACTCTCATGTCATATAATTATATAATACTCTGGTCATTTTTTAGTCAACTCTTCCTTATTTCTCATCTCACTGCATGGGTTTCTTTATAAGCACGTCACATTTTTATGCTAACATGAAATAAGATAGAGGGAGTGGTTTTTGTGATAGGATCTCTCAAGATGCCCCAACTTGGATTGAACAGGGGTGGTCCAAACTATCCCACTACTATAAATGGTCTTTTAGCAAAATCACGTCATATCCTTAATAACAAGGGGTTGGGTTAAATTACACTATCATTTTTGGACCTTATGGAGTAATAATTTTATTTGTCCTAATCGTCCAAAAGAAAAAGATTTTTCTTTCCAATAATTTTTTTACTAGCTTCAGTTTTGGATCCTTTGGTGTTTGTCTTTGATTTGAAAGGACCTCAGCTACTTGCGATTGTCAAACAAATTGCTAGGGCTTTGGCTCCCTGATTTGGAAAAAGATCAACTCATCAGCCCCTTTAGATAAAAGATGAGTGCTTGATCTTTAGCCTTCATATTGTTTATTACAGTATGTCATATTTATCATGTGCACAAATAATAGTAGATATCAGACACCCTTTTTTTTTTCCCTTAAATTCTTACGAACTGCAAAAAAATTTGAAGGATATGAACCATAAGTAATAATTGGAAGAACTTGTATGGTTCCCTGGTGGCTTATTTCTTGATGCCTTCTCGATAGTTTGGACACTAAGTGGAAGCCAGAGAAAATACTAGAAAAAATGTGAGTATGAGAAAACAATAGTCTGTCTATTTTCCTTTATTGGATGTCCTAAAACTATTATTATGTTTTTAATAATTAAAAGCAAAAGCATCTAATGTGTCACTAAACTAACTATGGAGTATTGGTTAATACTTAATAGTTAAGGATGTTCGCCCTATTTATTTATTTTTGAATTTCATCATCCATTTTCACGTATGACAACTTTTGCAGTATGGAGGATATCTCCTGCTTTTTTGGGGACATTCTAAGTGGAAACTGGAAAGGCTTTAGCTGCTAGTAGGGTTTCCCCCTGACCCCTTCCCCTCACTTACCCCAAAAAGAATACTAACATTGAAGCTTTTTTTGTCTCCACCATCCTTAGCTCCATAGAAATCCTATGAGTTCATGGACCTCATGGCACTTTGTGTAAACACCAACATGCTGAAAAAAATTGATAGGGGAAAGGTTGTTCTTTAACAGCTAATTCTTCCCCAAAAACATAACCAATTTTTGTGTCTTGGCAGTTCAAATAATTTGGTGAATTGAACTTCAAATCGTGAAGGTCATGACAGTGACCCCTGTTTTTTCATTGATGATATAATTTTCAATTCACCTTAAGCTGTAACTTGTTAGCATCTAGTTGTACTTCGCCATGTAATGCCCAAGAGTTCTTATTGCAGGTTGGAGCTGATGGAGGCAGATCACGTGTTAGGGAGTTGGCAGGGTTCAAATCCTCTGGCCGGAAGTATCCTCAAAATGCAGTTATCTGCACAGTTGAGCATTCATTGCCCAACTATTGTGCTTGGCAGAGGTTTCTTCCTGCAGGACCAATAGCACTTTTGCCTATAGGGGAAAATTTTAGCAATATTGTCTGGACGATGAGCCCTAAAGAGGCTTCAGACTGCAAAGCCATGACTGAAGATGATTTTGTGAAGGCTGTGAATCATGCATTGGATTATGGATTTGGTCCTCATCCACAGTCAACTTCAAGTATTGACAAAATTTTCTCAAGCTTTAAGTTGGATTCAGTCTCATCTAACGAATCTTTTGAAGTTCCACCAAAGGCTATCAAGTTGGCAACAGAAAGAATGGTGTTTCCCTTGTCTCTAGTACACACTGATACCTATGCTAAAACCCGTGTTGCTCTCATTGGTGATGCTGCCCACACCGTTCATCCTCTGGCTGGTCAAGGAGTTAACCTTGGTTTTGGAGATGCATCTGTTCTTTCAAAAGTTATCTCTGAGGGTACTGCTGTTGGCATTGACATAGGGCAGGTACCATCTCCTGGAATTTTTTTATTTCTTATGTGGCATTGTATGGAATTACATTTTTTATTGCTTAACATTATCTGATTATAAGATGTCAAATTGTGAAAAAGAATTGTGGAAAACTAAAGTCTAACTGATCAAAACAGAATGCCAAGCATTTAAGTCAGGTCATGGGGTTAATAATGTTGTAACATGAGGAAAGGTTAAAGGATTGTTTTATCTGTATGATCAATATCATATCGAACATAGCTTATGCAATTGATGTCATGTCACAGTTATCCCTGTTACAAAAGTATGAAGCAGAACGGAAACCAACAAATTTTATGATGGCTACTATCCTTGATGGTGTCCAGAAGGCATATTCATTTGATTTGGGACCGTTGAATGCATTAAGAGCTGTTGCATTCCATGGAGCACAGTACATATCACCTTTAAAGAAGAATATAATATTATATGCTTCTGGTGAACAAAAGCTTCCGTTTTTCTCTTGGAGTTAGGTACGATGGTAGCGGGAGCTTATGCTGTCTTCAAGTTTTTCTCAAGATCTTGTTTACTGCTGAGGTTTCATTACTAAAGAATGCTCTGTGTATTTCACTTCAAAGAAAACTCTAGATTAGCCTCTTGAGCAACAACAGAATAAAAGACGCTAGTTTATTAGTTTGTACTTGTACGCTGTTATGATACTTAGGATAATAGTGTGTATTTCAAGGACCAACTTTAGGACTTGGCAATTAATCAAACTTTGTTACTTGAGTAATTGCATGTAAGATGTAAATATTGAAAATATATTTAATCATTGATAGGGTTCATATTAGTTTGGACACATTGCATATGAATCTTGAAGGATTACCACAAATGTTAGTATGTTACTATGTGACTGCTCACATCAGTATGTTGAATTTAGAGGGGATCAACTACAGCTTGGGCAAAAAACAGGATGGAACCTTATATTTTGTCTAACAAGCTTAATGACAAATTAAGCCCTTTTATGCGGGCTTTTGTCCTAATTAACAGGTCGGGCTAGCTTATGGACTAATATGACTACAATATCTTTAATTTTTCACTACTATTTCTTTTTAATATTTTTAAAATTTTAAAATATTTCTGTTTAAGTCTAAAAAATCTCCGATCACAAACAACAATAAAAATTTGTTATTATGAAATATGTTAGTGAATAATATGAGAGATGTCAATTATCAAGTTTCAAATGATTTGCCCAACTATTCAAATTTTAAAGTTGTCCAAACCGGCCTTTTTAGCTTGCTTAGCACATGAACACCTCTGCTTAAATCCATCCTATATTCCTACGAACTTCTTGTGGTTGACATAGTAGCGCAAAGAGGCCAAAGACTACAAACTAATTTCAACTCCTCACCCCCCTGAATATTAATTACAAATTTAATAGATAATTACCCCTACAAACATAGAAAAAGGGCTTGGTAGGTAGATAATCACTACTTATGTAAATCATTTATAGTGGCTCCGGCATTGAATAATATGGCTAACAACAATTCAGGTAGTTATAAGAATTAGTTGGAATTGAAAGAACTAGAACATCTTTAGGATAATAATACACTAAAAACGGAAACAACATTATCCAACTTTGATAATGGCAAAAATCATTCATTATGATGTTATCATCTATTGATACATATTCAAAATTTGAGAATTAAATATATTATATAAGTAATACGAACTAATGAAAGCATAGAGACCGAAAGCGAGGGTCGACTCTGATGTTGAAAATCCGATCTGCCGATATAGTAAAAGGATGCAAAAGACTCAAGGCATAAGACGATTATTCCTTAGTGTTAGTGTTTGAGGAATAACATCGAGAAGGAGTGTAGACATTTCGTCTCGCTGACTTTGACGTTGAAAATCCGATGTGCCGATGTAGCAAAGGGATGCAAAAGACTCAAGGCATAAGGTGATTATTCCTTAGTGTCAGTATTTGAGGAATAACATCGAGAAAGAGTATAGTCATTTCGTTTGTCCTTTCCTTAGCTTAAGATGTGTTCAAACTCCACATTAAAAGAATTGAATATAACAGCACAAAAAACTTATCAAATAATCGAAATAACGAATTTATGGAGTCAACCTTTTATACTTGATCAGATTAGCACGCTTTCGGGTCAAACTCGCGTTACCAAACTAAGCTTAAAAAACACCATGTGTTATGTTTGGATTTTGGAACAAGACTTCAAATCTCATTTAAGATCTACACAAGTAGATGCTTTAAATCTTTAATCTTTAAGTGTTTATTTGAGTTAAAAATAAAAGAAAATAGAATAGACAAAACATAAAAGGGAGTAAATTACGGTCAATGATCATCTGAATAAAAAAATTAAAAAAACAAAAAAACCCAAAAAAGGAAAAAATAATATCGAGGCTTAAAACTTGAGTCCGAAACTCAGCAAAGAAACGTCGAACGAAGAAATTAGGAGAGAGAAACACGAAAGTTAGAGAGAGACTCAAAGATTAAGATTTTACAATCAAATTTGGGAAAAAAAAATTCAATCAATTTGCAATCGAATTCAACCCCAGAAACCCTAATCTTATCATCTTACGTTTTCAATCCTCAATTTTGACCCCCTTTTTTTTTTCTTGAAAGTTAGGGTTTTGTCGCGAGAACCCTAATCGGTGCAACTCAATTTGAAATTGAACAGATTGGGTCGGTATAAATTGGGGCTTTTGCTACTATCGGAATTTCGACCACGTATATAGGAGGATCTGGTTCAATAAGTTCACGATCATCGTTAATAGGTCTGTTAATTGTTGCACCGAGCAACCGAAGCACCGTCATTGTGGTTAATTTAACTCAAGTTGTTGGGGTTTCTCTCTGTTTTCGATTGAATTTAAGGTATGAAGTTGTGTACTTGGTTGTTGTTTAATCGCGCAATGTGAATTGAGTTGTGATTGATTGTTCTTGAATGGTGCAGTAATCTCAGTGTGAAAAGAAATAATTTTTATCAATTTGGGTAAAGTATTGGATTTATAAATAGTTTAGAAACTGATAAATTAATATTAGGGTGTAATTGTTTGAAAGGAATTTACCCGCCAACTTTAATGTTGCTGTATATCATATGTTAGAGTTGGTAAAGATGATATTTTTACTGAAGTTGATATATTTGCTCAATCTGTACTTTTTTTATTTAGTGAGTATAGACTGATAGCTGCGTTTCTCGGGTCTTTTTCCGTTTATTTGTGATCGGTGCTACACGATACTATATTCAGTGCCCGCATTTGAAATTCAAGGTCTTTTAGAGTAGTAGGCAATGGGATGCAATTTATGTGTATTGGATGCTAGTGAGAAGTGAGAACTAAAGTTGGTATTGGACATTATGTTGCTGTAAATTGCAACTGTATGGATATGCCGGGGCTTGTCTTTAGTCCAGCGTTATCTACATTTGGATGTATGAATTAGTTTGCTGTTTCTGCATAGTGTCTCTTTTTCACAAATATTGTTTTTATTAGAACTAAAATTTGCTTCTCTCTGGTTCACTTTCTATTTATAAGTATGACATTAGAATATTAGATAAATGCCTCAGTCAAAGAGACAAGGTACTATGCAGCTTTACTTATAGATTGTTTTCCTTTTCATAACAATCTGTACAAACATAGGTTTCACTCTGTGGCTTTATCCTTGTAAATATGCTTTTTACCTCGTTATTGCTCACTTTATCATTGTAGGAGTGAATTTGTATATTCTGTCTATTCAATGTTCAACAGAGGAAGTGTCTAAGTTTGAGCTTTATAAATTTGGAAGTTGCTTTCTTTTTCTGTGTCCTTGCAGGTGAAGTGTTGTCCTTGCAGTGTAATCAATAATGTGCTGGAGATGAATTTTGAATTGACCTTCTTATGGTGAAGCTGATGCACTTTCAGGCTTTTGGCATATTAAGAGTTGAAAATGAATGTCCAGGCACACATGTCAGGTCAGATCTCTGGGCAGGTACCTAACCAGGCTAGTAATCAGTTGCCTGGACTGCCTCAGCAGAATGGAAATACATTCCACACGCAGGCGCAAAATCTTGGTGGTCAAAGTAATCAAGCAATGGTGGACGCTGAACTTACTAAAATTCGACTGTTTATGAGAGAGAAGATGTAAGATCTTGTTTTAAATTATTTTATCCATCGTGTTTATAATTGGCTGTATTTGTTGCCTCTGGCACCTCCTTTCTTGGAAGGTGTAAAAAGAAATTATCTATCACGAATTAAGTATATTTCTGTAGCCCGGTTTATCATCTCCAAAAGACGAAAAGTGAAAACCTTCGTGAGATTCTAAATATAAATCAGTTAAGGGGCTTTATAATTTCTTCTGATGGATTTGACGGACCCAATGCTTAGATTTTGTGTTTCCTTAAATAGTATACCTTTATGCTTATATGTATCTTAAAAGCCTTTGGTTCTAATGTTTGCTACTCTAGGACGATTTTAGTTCTTTGGTGCATTATGGGTTGTTTGTGATTATGCATGTGGCACGCATTGATACATTTTCGGCAGTAGTGGATCTTTAGGTCAGTAGGTGAGGTTTGATGTTAGTTTTCCGGCATGCGCATCTGTTTTTGTTTTTGAATCTTTGTTTTTAGCTATTGAATGGAGCTGTTATGATTGGGTTATTTTGTCTATAATATGTGGGTACCTTGTTTACAAATGGTATGATTATGTCTGCGTAATGTCGAACTTTAAATTACTTGATGCATTTAGTTACAACCTACAACGCACAAAAATATGGATATCAAATCTTTTTTTTATCTTTATTGTCTTGATTTGTCCTATATTTCAACATGCGGTTCATTTATCGCATCAAATCATTATCCCTGTGCGCATGTGTGCAGTCTTGTATCTGCTAAAGAGGCCTCAAATTGAAAGCTGGCTGATCTTTTTGTTATGGTATGAAGAGATTAGATGAAAATGACAAATAGTTATGCTGGTTATGTAATTAGTCTTATTGCGATCCAATGCTGAAAAATTATCCAAGCATGATTATTTTAACTTTTAAATATGATTTTATAGGACAAAGGGGGTAATACCACTAGATGGTTAGTCATGAGGATTTGGTATTTCTTTCTATTTCCCTCTTGTCCTTGGGTATATGTCTTATTAAAATAGACTTGTAGTATTATGAATAGTTGTTAAGTACAGCACTAAAACTAGGTGAAGGTCCTCCTTGTTGATTCTTTCATTGGATTAGACTGTTTCTTCTATCTATGTGCTTTAGTCTGTCTTGTTTCTTTGTCACTTGGACATGCTATAATTGCTGCTGTACTTGATATCAATGATATGACTGGCCACGTATTGTGCAGTTTGAGGGTCGATATGATCCGACACAGATACAACCTGATACTATGTACTTGCCACAGTACGGGTGTTGTTACAAACACTAAGGGCATTTAAAACTTAATTAAAAATATAAAAAGTATATTTTTTTCAAAAAAATGCAAATTGTCAAATGCCATATCTTGTCCATGTATCTAAAATTAGGACTGCCCCTGCATCCAACTTTTTATGTTTACTGTAACAAACATTCTCATATTCAACACCTTAAATCTAGTCCAGGTAACATAGTGTATTATGCAGTTTACATTTTAAAATATGCACAATTGTAGGCATTTTGTTCCACTCTCAGCACATGTGTATGTTTTTATATTTTTTTTATTAATTTTGTTTTTTTTACAGCTTTGAAGTGAATTAGTAATGTATGCAGATCATTTGTTGTTTAATTTTTTTAATATATTTCATGGGATTTTACTCAAGTTGATATTAATGATCTCATTGAGGCATCTTTGCAGTGTGCTCTCCCTCTCCTGATATTTGAGCTACTATCTATTGGTCTTGTACAGTCAAGCAAGGATTTATGTGCTGCATATGGGATTGCTTGCTGTTAGGGGTTTTGTTGAATGAAAATTGCATCATTGGCTGCTCTATTTTTTTTTTTTCAAATTTTATCTTTAGACGAGTCTGTAGTTTATATCCTATCAGTTTTTAATCTCTTGGCATACCTGATATTATTTGGTCAAGTTCCATGATCTGGTAAGTGGTAAATGGTTATCCTGGCATTTTTGGCTGTTGATAGTTCTTCGTGTATGTTATTAGTATCTCTGTATGTGTAGAAAATTCTATTGAATAGTTACTTTCTTAGATTATCCTGCAATGCTGGTTTAGTGATTAACATATAATTTACTTTGTTTCCAGCTATGAGACTCTAATGCTGAGGCAACCGAACCGGAATGATGTTGTTTCAAAAAAATTGCATGAACTTTCAAGGCGCTTGGAAGAGGGGCTGTTTAAAACAGCTTCGTCAAAGGTAGTCCTTGGCCCTTTCTCTTTTTGCTCCTTGGATATCTAATGTTTGTTTTCCTGGTTACAGTCCATGTAGTTCATTTTATCTTTTTCCTTTCCTTATTCTTTTTCTTCTCTGTTTTGGTGTATGGTTTGGTTGAGTATGGATCAATGAATTTTTTTTTGTAATTTAGTTACATCTTTCCTTAAGTTATCAACTGTTTTTCTGGGTTTTCAATAAACTTTCTTGTTGCCTTTTTGTTCTTAATTAAATTCTGTGACAGGAGGAATACATGAATATGGAAAGTCTCGAGTTCCGTTTGCAGGGATTTATTAGGCGAACACCACAGACCAATCATGTTCCTCAACCGACACAATTTATGAATACTCCTACTCCTGTTGGTACAATGATACCAACACCTGGTATGCAACAGCAAAACAATGTAAATTCAAATGTGATGGTATCATCTGCAATGGATCATTCTAATATGACCACCGCAAGTGCTTGTGGCGGTATCTCATCCTCAACTCAAGGCATGGGAGGCTTGATGCCCAATTCTAATGGGTCATTTTCCAGTATTCGTGGTGGTTCTTTCCATGGAGCTGATGGTGAGTAAATTCATCACTCAACTAAGTGATGTTATAAGGTTTTGTACTTTGGCCTTTTGTCTGATAGAATATGCTTTGCAGGGTCTCTGTCAAATGGTTACCAGCAGGCCCCCTCTAGTTTTTCCATGAATTCTGGCAGTAATAATGTAATGGCTGGGCAGAGAGTTGTGAGCCAAATGATTCCCACTCCTGGATTCAGTGGCAATAATAATCAGGCATATATGAATGCGGATAACACTAGCAGTGGTGGTGTGTTATCTGGCGTTGATTCTTCAGGTGTGTCACAACAAGTGCCGCAAAAACATGTTGGTCAAAACAGCCGCATGTTACAGAACCTTGGTAGTGCAATGAGCAGTGGAATGAGGTCTTTAATGCAGCAGAGAGTCCAGAGTGGGCCTGTGAACAGTGGATTTGGTAACAATCTTCAAATGGTAAATGGTTCTGGCTCATCAGATAGCTATATGACCACATCATCTTACGGCGCCTCTCCTAGACCTCTGCAGCAGCCCCATGATCAACATCAGCGCTCTTCTGTGCAAGGTTCTGCCTTTTCATTCTCCCTTTTAGTCTACTTGTGAGTTTTGATTTATGCTTGATCAATGTTAGCTGATGTATCAAGTTTGTTTGGTAGGTGATGGATACAGGATGAGTGCTGCTGATTCCTCTGGAAATGGAAATTACTACAATGGAGCTCAGGTTGGATCCTTGATAAATAATCAGAATGTAAATCAAATGAGACCTCAGGCAATAAGCAGACCTAACTCGCTAATGATCCAAAATAGCACGCAAAGTGTGCAATCAGCTTCATACGCAAGGCCTCAATTAGCGGAACAAGTGGAAAAGTTAAATTTCCAATCATCACCTAGAGAAAATCATTCGCAGTCTTATGCTAAACAGTACCAACAGCAGCCTCATTTGATGCCGCCGCAGCAGCAGTTTGCTTCAAGCCGTCAACAGAAGCAGTCTAGTGAGCACCAACAATCTTTCGGGAGAAATGATCAATTTGTTCACTCCCAGTTAACATCTGACGTTGGCAGTCGTGTGAAATCTGAAACAGGAATGGAGCATCATAGTGAGGGTCTTCAGACACAAGTTTCTTCTGGGCAGCTCCAGCTTCCAGAATCACATCAACTTCACCATGATTCGAATGGAAATCTTATTAGAAGTTCTCATTCATCTTTTGCTCCATCAAGGCCTCAAGATATGCACTCTACGCTCTTGCAAAATCCTCAGCATATGATGACTGATGAGGCTACAAATGAATACAATAATATGTCTTTTGGAGTACAGCCAGAAGCACAACTAAATGGTCAATGGCATACTGAATCTAATAGATCGTCACTGGCTGGAAATTTGTCTCATGAACAGCATCTACAGGAGGAGTTACGCCAGAGAATGGTGGGGCATGATGAAGCTCAGTGCAATAATTTGGCTTCCGAAGGGTCTACCATTGGCCAGAATGTTGCTCCTAGAAGTGCTATGGATCAATCCAGAGTAGTTACTACACCCTGTAACTCCGGGAATACCATCCGTGAGCGTCAATTTAAGAATCAACAGAGGTGGCTTTTGTTCTTGCGTCATGCACGTGGATGTAGAGCGCCAACAGGAAAATGTCCAGAGCGCTATTGCCTTGAGGTGCAAAAGCTATTGAAGCATATAGATAGCTGCGATTCTTCTTCTTGCAACAAATCTCGCTGTCATGCAACCAGAACACTTATTAATCATCATAAACATTGCGCGACTGCCAACTGCCCTGTTTGTGTACCTGTCAGAAATTTTATACGTTCACATGGAAAGGGATATGTTCGTAAGGATTCTGATTCTGGATTGCAACATTCAATTGCTGTAAATTGCAGACCATCTGAGTCCGGAGAAGCTAAAGTTAAAGACAATCTAAAGCCTTCTGAAATAGTTGTTCAACCTCCAGAAAGTCAACCTGCTGTCAAACGCCTAAAGCCAGAGCCTCCTCAATCTGCTACTCCTGAGAGTGGAAGCATGTTTGTGCCAGTTAATGCCAACAATGCATCTCATGTTTCTCACAGTGTACAACCAAAAGCATATGAGAAAAATGAAAACACTTCACAGGTTAAGTCTGAATTCTCTGATGTGAAGATGGAGACTTTGGCTGTTTCAACTTCTAATGTTACTGAGGTGAAGAACATCATAGTTGACACTTCTAATCAGTCGGATGGTGCGTCGTCCTTGGCTAAGGAAGAGAGTGTCAAAAACGAAGAAGATAATGGTCAAGTGAAGCCAGAAGAAGTGGAGTCTCCTGAACCTTTGACAAAGTCCGGAAAGCCTAAGATTAAAGGAGTGTCCTTAACTGAACTGTTTACACCGGAGCAGATAAAGGAGCACATTTCTGGTCTTAGGCAGTGGGTTGGGCAGGTCTGTCTCAGTTTCCACCTTCTTGTTTTTACTGATAGTAGTTCTAATCTTTTGCTAAACTAAAATTGATAGCCCTTTAGTTATTGGAGATTAGAAATTTAATTTTCTTTGCCTAAGTATGCCAGTTTGTCCTCATGTTTTCTCTTACATCCTTTGATTACTGATTTTTTTCCTTTAATTTTTCGTAATATGGAAATGAATGATAAGCTGTATGTTATGCAGTCCATTTAACTTTGTGCTGCAGATATGCTTCTTGCGAGATGTGTTTTAGTTTACTGCCTGTTATTTATTACCAAGGAAAAAGAAGGGGATCCAGATACACTATCCTTATGATTCTACTGAAATTAAATTTCATTGTTGGCCTAAACTTTGGTTTGCTATAGCCAAAGAAAATGAAAAGTTCTTGATCGGGTCCATCGCAGCAAGGATATTTGGTGATTGGACATTGAAAGGCTGAAGAATTCTGTCCTTATTCTACTAATTTCTGCAATGCCACTAGATTATCATCATATTATTGGCTGTTGTGTTTTGAGGTGTTTCTTTTACTGACCACCTCTTTTGAGTATTTGAGTTTCTTATTGTTGTGGATCCATGAGGCAGGTCAGCTACATGTTTGAATATAATGTCTTTGCAATCTGCTTACAATTTTGTGCTGTGTTATGCCTTTGTAACTGCATGACTCTGGTCAATGTTCAATATGAAGTACTTTAATTTTGGGTGCTTTACAGTAAAATTTACTTTTTATTTCTAATCTCTCTTTTATTGATTGCAGAGCAAAGCAAAGGCAGAGAAAAATCAAGCGATGGAACACTCGATGAGTGAAAACTCCTGTCAGCTTTGTGCTGTTGAGAAGCTCACATTTGAACCACCACCTATTTATTGTACTCCATGCGGTGCTCGAATAAAGAGAAATGCAATGTATTACACTGTGGGAGCTGGTGATACACGGCACTATTTCTGTATTCCATGCTATAATGAAGCTCGTGGTGACACAATTTCTATAGATGGAACTTCAGTTCCTAAGTCAAGGCTGGAGAGAAAGAAAAATGATGAGGAAACTGAAGAATGGGTGTGTTTTTCAGTAGCTTATTTTATGTCTTTGCAGCCATAGGTTCTGCATAGGTTAATTGTAAATCTGCAAATGCTTTTTTTTTTTTTTTTTTAATCATAATTTTTGCTTTTTTTGCAGTGGGTTCAATGTGATAAATGTGAAGCTTGGCAGCATCAGATCTGTGCCTTGTTTAATGGAAGACGGAATGATGGTGGTCAAGCTGAATACACATGTCCTTTTTGCTATATGCAAGAGATTGAAGAGGGGGAGCGCAAGCCATTGCCACAGAGTGCTGTTCTTGGGGCAAAAGATCTGCCAAAAACAATTCTAAGTGACCACATTGAGAACCGGCTATTTAAACGATTGAAACAAGAAAGACTAGAAAGGGCAAGAGTCCAGGGAAAAAGTTATGATGAGGTAGTCTTCTATTTGCATTTTGGTGATGTGTAGGCAATTTGTTGAATTTGTCAAGCTTGCATAATATGAATTTCATTCAAGGTGAGTAATACCCTAGATCTGTCGATTGAAGGCAAGATCATTCAGAACAGAAAATTGGTTAAGCCTATTATTCGTGGGGTTCAAGTGATCCAGCTGGATGTCTCTGGAGATAGCAACTATTTTCATTGTTGAAAATCCCGCTCCCTTGTGGTTGCTGTTCTTTTTCTTTTTTATTTTCTCTATGTGGCTGGCTGTTCACCCCCCCCACCCCCCCTCTCTTTTTTTCCCTCTTTTGTGCTTCTGCTGATTTTAAAAGTATGTGACGTGTTTTGTTATATGTGTTGTGTTTCCATGTTCATGTCCAATTTTGAGGATAGTTACCCCTTAGTTTACAATTTTAGAATTATTGTACCAGATTCTCAGATCCGTACTCTTATCTGATTAGTAACTAGAGTCTAGGTGCAGTAGAAATACTTAATAGAAAGTAGGCTATTAGATTTACTGCAAAAATTTATTATAAGTCTCCTTCAAACACTTCTAAGGACCTTCAGATGTATGCAGCTGTATTTCAATGTAGTCCGATGCAGGGAATAAATACATCTCGTCAAATCAAATGGAGGCAATAATTTATAGATGGTCATATATTGCACAGTTTGTGGGAATTGTGGCTGTTTAGCATATAGCACTTACTTCAAAGTAGATGTTGGAAAAGGTGTAGATTGGACTGCATATAGTGAACCGTCTATTTATGGTATTTGGTAAATAGTAGATCAGTTCAATCTCACATTGGATAGTATATATTACAAATTATATTTTTCCTTTGTCTTTTAAATTCACATTTACTTTTCCGTTACATTGCCCACCTCCCACCTCCCACCCCCTTTTTTAGGCAACGACAACTTATCTCCTAAAATATTGTGCACTTATAGATTAGTGGTTCTGCGACGGAGGGAGTATTCTCTTTGACTTGTGTTATGTTTCGTTTGGTTGTTTGTGCTTTAGATTTATTCTTATGTTATAAATATTGAACTTCACTTACATCAGCATCAGTGAATCACTGTAGGGTGTCATACAGTCATAGTGAATTGGATTTACTTTGTTATATGGTAACTAATGCTACTTTGCTAGGGTATTAATCCTCAGAAATTTGTGCTTCAAGCCATTTTTTTGTTTATAACCTTTTGGTTCTGAATTTGATTTTCTAAATATATATAAAACTATTCTAAAATTTGTATATATTGTGATGAAAACTATTCTAAACTATGTATATATTGTGATGAAAACTATTCTAAAATTTGTATTTGATTAATAAGTGGTGTAAACTTTTCTAAAATTTGTATAATGCATTAAATTATCTGAAAATGCAGAGTGTCATTGAGATTAATATATATGTGGCTGTGTCAGCTCCATAACAACTGGATGGTAATCTTTGGTATCTGTCAGGTTCCTGGAGCAGATGGAATTGTTGTTAGAGTTGTGTCATCTGTTGACAAGAAGTTGGAAGTGAAGCCAAGGTTTCTTGAGATTTTCCGTGATGAGAACTATCCTACTGAATTCGCTTATAAATCTAAGGTCTGATGTTGTTTTGATTTTGGCACATATTATATAACTTGTCAATTTGGCTACCTAGGCTAGAGGAATGTTGGAAATTTGCTTATTAGAATCTAATTTTTCTTATTTTTCTCTACTAATTCATTGTATAATTGATCAACTTCTTTCTGCAGGTAGTTTTGCTTTTTCAGAAGATTGAAGGAGTAGAAGTGTGTTTATTTGGAATGTATGTTCAAGAGTTTGGCTCAGAATGCCTGCCTCCAAATCAGCGCCGTGTTTATCTTTCATACCTTGATTCAGTGAAGTATTTTAGGCCTGATGTAAAAGCAGTGTCTGGCGAAGCTCTCCGTACATTTGTTTATCATGAAATTTTGGTATGTTTTGGTGGGAATTTTTTTTGTGGGTGTTATTAACGATTGATTAGTATTTTTCATCTGAAAAAATCATGTGCCTCTTTGCAGATTGGTTACCTTGAATACTGTAAGAAGCGGGGTTTTGCAAGTTGTTATATATGGGCATGTCCACCTTTGAAGGGTGAAGATTATATTTTGTATTGCCATCCTGAAATACAGAAGACACCAAAATCTGACAAATTGAGGGAGTGGTAAGATAAATTGATTTTTCCTGTAATGATTATATTTTAATCCCTCTTTGTTTTTGATTAATGACGAGACATTGGTTTTTATGCTTCAGGTATTTGGCAATGCTAAGAAAAGCTACGAAGGAAAATATTGTGGTTGACCTTACTAACTTGTTTGATCATTTCTTTGTACAAACTGGCGAATGCAAGGCCAAGGTCACCGCAGCTAGGCTCCCGTATTTTGATGGTGACTATTGGCCCGGTGCTGCAGAGGATATGATATATCAAATTAATCAGGAAGAGGAAGGTAGGAAACTCAACAAGAAGGGAACAACAAAAAAGATGATCTCAAAGAGGGCTCTTAAAGCATCTGGGCAATCAGATCTTTCTAGCAATGCGTCAAAGGATCTTCTTTTAATGCATAAAGTAATCTTCGTATCTGTCACTAACTCCTCTTTTTCAGTTGCTGCTGCTGCTACTTGTATTTGCTTTTTGGTTAGCCTTTTGTCTTTTGGGTCTAGTGTCTGTGTGCAATCAAATAGAATAACATTCTTTTCTAAAGCGTTAATAAATGATTATAAATACAAAAAATAAATATATGGAGAGGCCAAGCACTACCATGGGGACTTTCTTACAATTTATTTGTAGTGATGATGATCTCACAGTGATCAATATATAGTTGCACTTTTATCATCTCGTAGCCTATGCTGTAATTACCCCTAATATTGTGGCTTTCTAATTGAATTTTGATTTTTTCTGCAGCTTGGTGAAACGATTTCTCCAATGAAGGAAGATTTTATTATGGTTCATTTGCAGCATGCATGTACCCACTGCTGTTTGTTAATGGTTTCCGGGAACCGCTGGGTTTGCAATCAGTGTAAAAATTTTCAGCTCTGTGACAAGTAAGATCCTAGCTGTACAATTATGATCATGGTGCTTCATATAAGTTGGTTTTTTTTTTTTTCCTCTTTTTTTTTTTTTTTTTTTTTTTAAACTTTAGTTGGACGTACAATATTTCTTATATCTGCTGAGCAGCTACAATCTTGTTATGAATTAGCTTTAAATAGTGCTATTTCAGATTTTTGAATTTTTGAGCAAATTTTATTCTGGTCTTTTGCAAATAATCGTATCTTTTGTTTTCTTTGACTATTGGTATAGAATATATTTAAAAAAATCTATGTTTTTTTTTTCAAATATAAATTGCTGGATGAAGTTGTTACATGTACATTGTAAAGGGAATTAGGGAATAATATCAATGAACTCCCTGACTTGAAAAGTAGGGAGTTGGATTTATTTATGTATAATTGTATAGTTAAACTTGAGTTATGTTTATTGCAGGTGCTATGAAGCAGAACAAAAGCGTGATGATAGAGAAAGACATCCTATCAACCAGAAGGACAAGCATGCACTTTATCTGGTAAGCTGTTTGTGCCTGTTGGAGAAGCTTCTTTGGATGAGTAATATAATGATTAGACTCTCCCTCTGTTTCTTTTTGACTGTCTCATTTGGAATCTTGCTCAGTTTCCTATGCAATATTGTAATAAATTAATGATAATGTATTTAGGTACGTTTTACGTGGAAACTTAAAATTGAGACGAACCTAACAAGTTCACACGACTACGTTTTGAAGTGTGTGTATATATATATATATATATATATATATATATATATATATATATATATATATATATATATATATATATATATATATCACACACACACACACACACACACACATATATATATATGCTTAAAGTATTAGGTTCCATTTGCACTGGAATCCAAGTAGGTCATTAGTAAAGAAACGGAGGAAGTATGATTATCTCGCATTCCTTGTTGATTTGAATTCTTATGTCATAATGATATAGGTTGAGATTGCTGATGTGCCAGAAGATACCAAGGATAAAGATGAGATTCTTGAGAGTGAATTTTTTGATACCCGACAGGCATTTTTGAGTCTTTGCCAGGGGAATCACTATCAGTATGATACTCTGCGCCGTGCTAAACATTCTTCCATGATGGTGCTTTACCATCTTCATAATCCAACTGCCCCAGCATTTGTGATAACATGCAACATATGTCATCTTGATATTGAGACTGGTCAAGGTTGGCGTTGTGAAACTTGTCCAGATTATGATATTTGCAATTCTTGTTACCAAAAGGATGGAGGTAGGGATCATCCTCATAAGTTGACGAATCATCCTTCCGTGGCTGATCGTGATGCTCAAAACAAGGAAGCAAGACAACAACGTGTTGTACAGGTACCACTATTTGCATTCGCGTCTAACCCCACCCCCCCCCCCCCTTCCTGGCAGATTATCTATTATACACCTGCCAAATATCCACAAATCTTTTGTGGATTTTTTAACCTATATATTTTGTCCCGTGCGATGCGCGGGATTTATATATAATTGTTATCCATAACTGCTATCCATTTTTATTTACTGCATATTTATCCAGGGAAAACAGGATACCTAAGCTTATTATTGCTTTATAAATATGTTGCCATGGTTTATGGAGGATAATGGTTGGGCTAGAAGTAGATGGTGGCAAGTTGGATATTCAATTGCGGAGGTTTGATAGCATTATAAGTTACCATGTTGGTTATGGATATGAGGGGAGATATGAGAAAACGTTGCAGTACTAGAATAGCACTAGAATATGACACTATTCTTTTTCCTTGTAGTTACATTGTGCACTTATTAATAGCTTATCACTTGATTTATGATTATTGTCATGTTCGGAGTCCTCTGGAAGAGTGTCATATATATGCAAGTATATATGATGTGGGGCCCTTCACTAACTGTTTCTTTTTTTTAAAAAAAAAAAATTCTTACTTCTCCTGTCCATTAAATAACCCTACACTACCCTACTACTTACTGCTTACTCTAATTATGCGTATCCAAACTTCAGAGGACACATATATGAGAACTGAGGGAGCATATATTATCTTTAAAAACATGTTTTTCCTCCCAACTTAGCTGTTTCTGAAGATAAGTGGTCATTTAGCCACTGCGAACAACTAGATCCATTAGATATATACTCATGTATTATCGTGTCACACTTCCTTCTTTTCCCGCTCATGAACTCTTTCTCTCTCTCTAATATTATATGCTATATGGTCCAGCTCCGAAAGATGCTTGATCTGCTGGTGCATGCATCACAGTGCCGTTCACCACATTGCCAGTACCCCAATTGTCGGAAGGTTAAAGGTCTATTCCGTCATGGAATACAGTGTAGAATTCGTGCATCTGGGGGTTGTGTTCTTTGCAAGAAGATGTGGTATCTTCTTCAACTTCATGCTAGAGCTTGTAAAGAATCTGAATGTCATGTACCTCGATGCAGGTTTGTGGCTCAAGCTCTTAGTTACTGCAAGAAAATTTGTTTCCTCATTACCCTATTATTGATCAGATAACTGGAGTGTATTTCTCAAGCTTTCTATGTTTTATTTTTTACCTTTCTCCAGAGATTTGAAAGAACATCTAAGGCGGTTGCAACAGCAATCTGATTCTCGTAGACGAGCAGCTGTGATGGAGATGATGAGACAGCGAGCTGCAGAAGTAGCTGGCCATGCTTAATTTGTGTACATATATCTGGACATTTGGAAAGAGTTTTCCAAAGACTTGATACATGGTTAGTGTTCTGAAGAATACTCATGCCGTAGCAGTAAGAGAAGGAAGTCTTCTACGGGAGAAGCAATGTGGATTTAAACCTCTGTACAGATTCAATATGCAGAAGTCATTAATATGGTAACATATATATCCTGGTCCTGAACATTTCCTTCCGAAGACGCTGGGTGGAATTCTTTTGCAATTTGGAGGGAAGAAAGATAGTATTTTATTTCCAGGGCACTCATCCTCAATGCTTACTGGCATCTCATAAATGGAGCACCGGCGCTAGTGTTCATCTTTGTGGTGGTGGAAGAGTTGGTGATTCTTTAATTCTATCCTTTGTGTATTTTCTACAACGCCTCATCTATGGTGGCAAGTGTACTATAGTATGTCTTTATATGTACGAGAAACGTTACTTTTTGTGCAATGGAGCGTAGGGGATGTTTGCAATTCTTTGCTATCTACCTCCTATATGTTGTTCCCTTTTTTGTAGAATATTTATTTCATTTTGGAAAGGAAAAAGAAGTTACATCTCAAAGTTCTCGTGCTAAATGCCATTTATGATTATCGTCCAATAGTTCCAAACGCTAAGAAAGTACTGCTTCTTAGATCTTGTGTATATTTTAACTTGATAATTCTATAATTGAAGAAATAGAGATGTATCTTCTACCAATTCCCAAAAAAGCAGCTAAACAAATACGTTCTCTGTTACATTTTTTTGATTGTGATGTGTACCTCTTTGAAGTTCAAAACAATAGTGACATCTCTAATTTTACACTTTTAACATCCAAAATGATTTTCACCCTGGACTTGTATAGTTGTATGGATCAAAATCAGAGGTAAACATGGAAGCTCAAAAGTATATATGAAAGTAGAACAGCTGAAAGAACGAAGTAGGACTCTCTCATGATAATTACTCAATCCCGTTTTGTTTGTCCCCTCGAGTAAAGTCACATTTTTTAATTTTTGGTTCGGAGAAATTGATGGGAGAGAGAACTAGAGAAGTGGTGCGACAAAGTGTAGTTGGTACGAGGATAAAATTATAATGTTCTACAGTAATATGGGACAATCTTAAAGGGACAAAGCTAAAAAGAAAATTAGAGCAAACAATAGGGGACAAAAGGAGTAAGAAACAATGTACTTGGAAAATTTCCACTAACCTACTTTATTCACAAGTATAATAAATTAATAAGCTATAAAAAAAAAAGTCAAAGTGTTTGAATGCGTGAATGTCAAAATCTTGTAATGTTACAGAAAATAGAAGTAATTTCCCTTCCAAAAAGAAAAATGAAGATTAGAGAAAAACAATCCAAATGATTGACTATATGTTGAAAATGATCAAAATCATCTCGTTATTTTGTTTCACTACATTCAATTTACGTCTATTCCATAGTGGTATTCCTTCAGTTAACTCCTTAAGTAATGTTGTATGTTGCTAATTTGCTATAGTAATCATCCAATTTCAGTCACTCACGTAGCCTCTTTGGGAGAAAGATTAGTTCAACAACCACCACGGCCTTCCTTGTTTAGCTTTCAGACTCATTTTATGAAGCTGCCCTGCCATACCCTTTCATCTCTATCTCTATAACATGAAGTGGTATCTGGGTTGCAGCTTCGAAAAAGTACTGGATGTGCTAGTGCATGTAATACATTGCCCATAACCACGTTGACAGTATCTCAAGTGCCGGAGAATTATTGATATTTTTTGTCATGATTGAAAGAGATTAAGAATTCTCACTATTTTTTAGATTCATGGACCAAATTTCAGATGGGGGGCGGTGTTCTTTGCAATAAGATGTTGTGTCTTCTTCAATTTCATACTCGAGAGGGTAAGGAATTTGATTGTCAGGCCTTGATGAAGATTTGTGATCTTAAACTCTTAAACAACCTTTTTGTTACTTCTTTTTATATCTTTGATTCAATATCAGGATTCAGGAGCATGTTTCTCAGATTAGTTTGTTTTCTGCATCTACAGAGATCTAACAGAACCTGATACATCATTTCAGCTGTCTGATTCTCGTAGCTGAGCAGCTGTGCAGGAGAAATGATGAAACTAGGAACTGCAGAAGTTGCTGACAATGCTAGTTTGTTGTATGAACTAATTGAATCTGGGTTCATAGACAGCAAGGATAATATCAAGGTGCACACGCAAGGTCGAGTTGAGTTGAGATTGATACTCCCCGTTTTCTCTTCATTGCGGATGAAATTATAAGCCTGTATCTTCATTATTTTTGTGGTTTAATGGAAATTCTCTTTTACAGACCGCATAATCCTTACGAATACAAGCATCTACACCCATAGTACTTAAAATGAAGGACAGATTTGAGCAAAATGAATCAGTATATGGAGAAGATATCCTAAGAGAAGACCCCACCCCACCCCCCCCCCCCCCCCGCCCCTCTTCTCTTCAGTGGATGAAATTGTAAACCTTTTATCTTCATCGTTTTTGGGATTTAATGGAAATTCTCTTTTTATGGATTGCATAATCCTTATGAATACAATCATTAATCACCCATGGTACTTAAATGAAGAGCAGATTGAGCAAAATGAATCTGTATATAAGGAAGATATGTAAGTGGAAATAAACATTTGATGGACAATGAAATCAGAAACCTGATTTTTATAAATAGGGTCAATTAGCCAATTAGGCATGCACTAAGCATATACAACCTGCAATATGGCTGAAGGGTTACATCTTACATACATGATTCATCCATATCACCTTAAATAGCAAAATAGGAAATGAAAAAAATTAAAAAATCCTATTTATTTTTTCTCATATAGTCAGATTCAGAAGCCTTGAAGTCTCATATTGCTTCTAACAGCTTGGCACGTATTGATTCCGGACATGAAGCTTTGTTGAGGCTGCAATTGTCATAAAACACGAACATCAGACCATCACTAGTAAAACGTATAAAATATTGAGGTACTCTTGTTGAGAGTCAATTGATTGAAAAAGGAATTCAAGAGAACCTACCGAAGGAGAGTATCTCCGCTGAGAGACTGTTGTTCAGAAACGTATTCTGGGGCAACTTCTCTTAGCAACTGAAACTGCGCTTCAACCTCATCTGCAAACAAAGATCACGATTATTCTAGTCAGAACAGCAACAAATGTTCCAAGTTAGTTTCAAAACTCAAGAGGATGAAGCAAACCCTTACATTTATCAACTATGTCTAAATGGCCAGTAATTAGTTTGTAAATAAGTTCCTCTTTTGTGACAATGGGACGCCTGATAGACTGGAACAAAAGAAGAATCATGTCAAAGAGTTTAGGTACTCCAGCCATCAGTTGTTGCCGCCTTTTTTCTTGTGAGACTGCCAAGCCCTGGTCTTCTAAGATCTTCTGTTCTTTTTCTATCAACTGTAGTAGAATTATTGATTTAGATTCTTCTCATACAATGTTTACCAAACATAACTTATGCAGCACAATCAGATACCAGGAAACATAAGCTAACTTACCGACTGTAAAAGGTCATCTGGAAGCACGTTCAGGACATCCTTGGAAGCATTAGAGCCTTGAGCTGGGTAGCAGATTTTTTCCTCCCCAACTTGACTGGGTTGATCCTCAATATCATTGCTGCTCTGTTCAAAGTTAAGGGCCCTACGCTTAGCTGACTTATTGGGTACATCACTACAACAATCATGATCTGGGGTCATCAGAGGGCGTTTTGGTGGCAGCAATACAGGTGTGGCTGCCATCAGCCTTGCTGGTGTTGAGGCGAGTTTGACAGGCGTTGAAGCGAATTTGACAGGTGTTGAAGCGAGTTTGGCAGGCGTTAAAGCAAGTTTAGCAGGCGTTGAAACAAGTTTCGCAGGTGTTGAAACAAGCTTGGCAGGCTCTGCATTAAATTCGACTAAGCTAATAGAAGATTCATCTTTAGCATCAACGACAGTTGCCTCCTTTATGTGAGTATCCAACAAGCAAGATGATGGCTTTGCTGGAGAGGACTCAGAGACTGAAGCACCCAGAGCCCTTGATGAGAAACGCCTCTTAAAAGATGGAGCAATGTGTAACACTGCTGGTGGAGCAGGGGTCCTGCACAAGCTTGGTTCAGGTTCCTGCTTTGGCTGATAGAACAAATGCGGTAATTTTCCCTCGGGAACATTATCATCCTGATTAAAAACAAAAATCACTCAATAAATCCATAAAATCATAGTCCAACACTAACCTAATGCTAAAAAATGTATCAAAAGTTGATTTAGGAGAAAATTAATACCTCATCATGGGTTCTGAAATAATGCGTGAGTCGTGACTGGAAGATCCCTTTCAAATGAGAAAATCCACCACCGCCTTTCACATTATCATCAGTTGCCACTGCATCTACCTCGAGAGACACAAGAAGGTCCTCCTTCATACAGTTTGTTTCTCTGTCTTGAACACGGATTTTCTTTACCACAATCACCTCTGGCATGATGTGCTTCAATTGAGCCAAGTGATGTAATGTGAACCTCCTGTAGTATTTTTAAGAGAAATTCAACAAGGATTTAGCTAAGATAAACTGAAATATAACAATTACTATGCAGGAAAAAAAGAAAATTGATATTGAAAAGTAATACTGATTGCTGAACGCTGAGTTGTGTATTACGGTGTTACCTTTCCGTCAATGACTCAATACTACGAGAAAGCCGAGTAAGTGTTGATGGCAATTTTTTTAGTCGGAGTAGCCGAATTGAACTTATCATTGCATTGAAGAACACACATAACATCTCATACCTGTTAATTAAGTCACTGAAGGATAAGTATTTTGTTCAACTTTTGACAAGAGGCATAAAATCATATCACCTCATTAGCCAGACATCATTTTTCAAACAAAAATTAAGCAATTACTCCAATATCAGTTGAAATGCACAATTGGCATCAGATTCACAAGGTGCGAGGATCTGACCCGGAATCGGAACTAAAATTCATAGCATTCCTCACTAATCAAGGTTTAACAATTACTCCGCAATTTGTCACAGATTCATAAGTTTTGCTTACAAAATCACAATTGAAGTAGAATCAAAACACTGGAAACCTAAACCTAAAAGATTATTTCAATTGTTATCGATCGTTTATTAGGGAATAAAAAACCCTAACTTCATCGGATTCAAATATTTGATCGAGTTAGTTCTTTAAAAAACCAAATTAGTCAAATGGAATGCAGATTAAACTCAAATAACATGTAATTGTTGAATAGAAAGAACAACAAACTAGTACCGAATATTAAAATCCTAATTTCCGACAAATGTTAAACACCCAAAATCCCAAATTTACACTCATCCTCACAAATTTAAATAAATTCTGAAATCAACCTCGAAAAATTAATCACATTAACATCAATTAACAATTTAATACCCATCACAATGTATAGCCCAAAAAAAAAATTAATCTCCTGAAAAATAGCTCATTCATAAAATGTGAACTAATTGAATAAAAATCACACATAAAATGAAAGAAATAATGATAGCAAGTAGAATCAAACATACTTTTGGGGCAATAATCCATTGGGCATCCCAGAAACTCCACAACTGATCTTGGCCTTCTTGGGACAATCCGACCCGGAATCGAAAGCAGCGCGATTGGATTTAACAATGCGGATCTGACGGGGCTCAGGAGTAGCAACCATGGGAGTATTAAGAGAAGATGAGGAGAGAGAATGAGGGTGGTTGTTATTGTTGGGAGTTGTTACTACTGGAACTGATGATTCCCAAGACTCCATTTTTGGTTGAAAATGTTTGTGAGAAGAAAGTAAAAATTTTCTGGGTTTTTGATGAAAATGGATTACAGTAGAGAGGGAAAGAAGAGAGAGAAAATGGAGGTTGAAGAAATAAAGGACGGAAAAATGGAGTATATAAATGGAGAAGAGAGGCTGGAAAAAGAAGCGAGTGAATTAGGGTTTTTTGGCGGGAAATGATTTTTGCGCCAACATTTTCCCGGTAGATTTTGTGGGCTTGGCTATCCACCCATACTATTAAACATTCGGCCCGAATTTGTAACTTTCCGTCTAGATTTCATTTGTTCCTCTCACTTAAAACCGTGGAGTAAATTAATAGGGGAAATTGTTCTGTGTACCTTTGAAGTATTAAAAAATATACCATGTCAAAGATCGAGTGCATGTTGAGAAGAAGAAAAAGATCAAGAGAATTTTTAGATTTGAAGAGATGTGGCTCAAAGAAGATTCATTTTGAGAAGTGCTTGTTGCTCATTTTGAGGATCTGTTTGGTTCATCATGTCAGGTTGATACGGACCCAATTCATTGGATCTAATTTAATTGATTTTAACCATTGGATTTAAGTTGTGGTTTTCACCCCTCTTTCACCTATAAATACCCCTTTCATACCCATCATTTAAAGGGGGACAATTAAAGAGGACACAAGGACAATTTAAAGAGACTTTATACACATTCAATCACACAAAATAGCCTTAGACAACTCCTCAAAGGGCTGCCCGTAAAACCGCAGCCTAAAGCCCCCTAACCGCTGCCCTTTTCTGCCCAGCGAACAACACACTCAACAGCCCAGCAGCCAGAACCGCCACCCAACGCCAGAACCGCAGCCTTTTCTGCCCAGCGAACAGTCACTGCAGCAGCCCAGAACCGCCACCTAAAGTCCAGAACCGCCACCTATCCTTGCTGTCACCATTGCCCCTCGTTCAAGCACATCAAGTACTTCAAGCTCATTAAAGTTTAAGCGACAAAGGTTTTAACTTTGAGGGTTCCAACAATTTAACTCTTTACTTTGATTTATTTAATTTAATTATTTTATTTGTTTAAATCTTAAAGTCAGTGCTAACGGTTTCTTTTGCGGTTTTGTGCTTAAGTAGTAAGAAGACGCTTTCAAGGTTGGTCTTCTAACATCCTCTTTTCATTATGTAGTAGCATATTTTAATATTTCTTGTACATAGTAGCATGTTTAGGTTTCTTTTTAATACTTAGTATCATGTTAGGATTGGAACAAACCTAGTATCATGTTTAGGACGATTTATGCTTGGTTTCGATTGTTGATGATGCGCATGCTTGGATGATTTTATGCTTACCTAGTATCATGCTTAGGCTTTAATTAATTATTATTCTTTTATGAGCATGTTTACATAGTATCATGCTAGGTTGAACAATCTTGTTTGTTTTGGCTTGGTTTATGCGTGTGACAACATAGGAAGCATGTTAGATTTTGGCTTGAACTATGCATGATTTTGGATTTGGTTTATGCATGATTTATTTCTTACCATGCGTGGCTTTTGAATTGATTTTATGCATGATCTTATTCTTGTTGTGCGTGGCATTGGCGTGGCTTTTGCTTGGTTGTTGCGTGACTTTGCTCTAGGCGAGTCATGTATAATTGCTTGGCTTGTTTTCTTTTCTTAGTTTCATTATACCTAAGGCATAATTTATGCTTGGGATATATATGATTAGGTTCACTTAGCATGAAAAAGCATAACACGTTGTAATTTACAACGATATATGCGCATAAGGACTTAAGGGAAAAACGTATGTGCAATCACTTTAAATCACTTAATTAATAATCTTGAATAGTCTAATCTTGATCTAATCCAAGTGATCACTCGCAATTTCTAGAGTTTTGTGTGCATTTAGGTAGTCCTTAATTTCACCTAGACTTATTAGTAATAAGTTAGGATTAAAACGTTGCAATGAATCGACTATAATGTATTGCCATATACGCAAGAGTTGAGTAGAGGCCAATTTGGGCGAATAAGGCTTACGAAGCCTATAATTCGTACCTTCAATCCCCGAATCCTATTTCTTTGGTTACGAACCAGTTTATATGGAGCGATCCGGCCTAATAGTCACCGCGATCAGGGGTGTAACTAGGTCGCATGACCGGTTATGAGTTATCCTAAACTCATTGGCGACTCCGTCTAGCATTTCAATCATTCACAGTGACTAGCCAAACTGTCACCTTAACAAGTGACACCCAACAGTAGGGCGAAAGCGCGCAAAAGTTGCGCCGAAATTCCTTACAGCCTTCTGCTTTATATGTTGTTCTACTTATTTTTGCTTTGTTTTTTGCAAAATTTCACTAAGTATAGAACTTCAAATGCAATCTTGAGGTGATGCTGATGATACCTGAGGTGGCTATCCATTTGTAATCTTTCTTCAGATTATCACCTTCTTGCCCCCCTTCAGAAGCCGAGGTAATATGCCTTGGGTTCTGAAGAAGTTTGTATGCTGAAGCCTTTTCTCAGCATCGGGCACTTGTTATACTTTGCTTTAACTTCTGCTTTGAGAAGCTTTTCTGCTGAAGGAAAGAATGGTGCTGCAACGCTAATAGGTCTTCCTTCAGTGGCACTTTTGTCCTTTTAATTTTCTGAATATGCCTGGTGCTGCTGCCTTTCTAGGTTGTTCAGCACACCTTCAGATTTTTGAACTTCTTGGGTAGGGTAGGTGCTTCAGCACACCCTTACCATTTCAGATTTTGGGTAAAGTAGGCGTTTCGGTGCACCCTTGCCATTTCAAATCTTCGGCGAGGTAGGTACTTCTGTACACCCTCACTTTTTCGGATTCTAGGCATGGTAGGCGCTTCGGCGCACCTTTACATTTTTTTAAGTGAAGTAGGCGTTTCGGCACACCTTTACCATTTTGAGTTTGGGACGAGGTAGGTACTGCAGTACACCCTCATCTTTTCAAATTCTAGGTAAAGTAGGTGCTTCGGTGCACCTCCACTATTTCGGCTCGTAGGTAAAGTAGGTATTTCGGCGCACCCTTACCAATTCAAATCTTCGGCAAGGTAGGTACTGCAGTACACCCTCGCGTTTTCAGATTCTAGGTAAGGTAGGCACTTCGATACACCTCTACCTTTTTCGGAACCGAAGCAAGGTAGGTGTTTGGGGTAAAAATACCCGGACACGTGGACCTGTAATAAGAGGACATGTGTCACCTTGGTAAAGTGCCACGTGCCCCAATTAAGACGTGACACGCGTCACCGTCTGGTTGGCCAAAATTGACCAACCAGAGGGTGACACGTGGCGCGCAGTGTAAGTGGGTAAAAACAGGCTAAACAGCCTAATTACTCCTAATATCAGCCCAAGCTAAAGGAAGCCCAACACTCTAGGAAAGTCCTAGAGAGGCTCCAATCTCAAAGCCTATAAATACTCCTCATAAATGAGGAGAAAGGGCAGCAGAAAAATAGCTTAAGCATCTGATTACACCCAATTCTCTCTACATTACAACATTTTATTTCTTTATTACGTTCTTCCGTACCCTTGCTAACTTGAGCGTCGGAGGTGAACCCGACCCGGTCGAGAGTTCATTCATTTCAGGTACCCTTCGGTTAGGACGACCAGTTGCAGGACTATTCTCCCGCGGGACCATCCGGAAAACACCAGAACATTTGGCGCCGTCTGTGGGGAGAATACTTCTGAAATGGCAAACCAAGTACTTGAAGACGCCCACGTCCGCGACGCTGACTCGGCGAGTGAGTCGGAGTTAGAATTGGACGCCCAGGGCAATATGACGCGCGGAAGGCACAGAGCAAGAGACGCTCGAGAAAGGGAGCCGGCCCCCAAAACTGCCGGCAATGTGCCTGTCCTGACGGCAGCCGGGAGGGAACCAGTACGTAACCCTGTTCAGACAGACACAGACGCCCATGGTAACCTTACCCGAGATGAAGTAATGCGGATGTTTGGAGACTTTAAGGATCAGCTAGTCAATATGTTCCGGCAGACTAGCTCAGAGGCCCCTCAGCAACAAAAATCAAAGGCTGACCCTAAAGATCAGCCTCAAGATTCTAGGCGCACAAGGGACAGGCGTCCTACCCCTCATCCAGGGGGCGTCCGGTATAAGGAGATTGACCTTTCCAAGGTCGACTGGACTAGGGTTCAGGCTCCGAGAATTGTCACCCAGCGAAAGCCTATCAGGCTTAATCACCAGGACGGGAGTCAGTCTGTATTTGAGGATGCCCGCCACTACTTGAAGCATAAAAAGGTATTAGAAAGCCCCGTGGATTCGGATACCGCCTCCACCCCATCTATGACCGACAGTTCTTTCCATACCTCTCTTAGGCGCTCAGGAAGTGGCCAGAGACAGAGAGGAGGAACAGACTCTGAGGCCGAGAGAAGGAGGCGGGAGATAGCGAAGGGAAAGAAGACATTTGAGAATCAACCCTTGAAAAAGAAAGATCTTGAGCGATTGATTGCATTACAACAACCCCCTACCTCTAAGGGTTCGCCCTTGGTAATTGGCCGGGGTAATAGAGCTCGGGACAATGCTGGATCCCCATACTCGGTCGGCCAAAATGAGGTCGGCCAAGGCCAGGCGGAACCAAAGACGGCCTTTTCTCCAGCTTTAGATTTCTAGATGAGGATCTTGAATCTAGGAGAGCGTCGCTCGGCGTTTTCAAAAGAAATTGAACAGGCCCCCCAGCCTTACAAAATTAAAAATGTGATGGTAGGTGCCTTTGATGGCACCCAAAATCCAGAAGATCATTTAATGGCGTACATCAACCTGATGTACTTGCAAGCCGTTGACGATGCAACTTGGTGCAAGTGCTTCCCGGCCACATTAACCGGGATAGCACAGAGGTGGTTCGCCACTTTAGCACCCGACTTAGTTACAAGCTTCCGTGGACTCGCGCCTTGTTTGTGGACCAGTTCTCCATGGACATTCCCGCCAGAAAGACTAGTATGAATTTAAGCAATATTACTCAAGGTGAAAACGAAGGCCTCCGGTCGTATGTCAGGCGGTTCAACATGGAGAGAATGCAAATTCCCGGTCTCTCCAATGAAGTGGCCTTTACTGATTTCTTTAAAGGATAGCGGCAAGGGTCGGATTTCAAGTTCGAGTTGGTGCGTAAGCAACTGCTTACCCTCCCTGCAGCTCTCGCCGAGGCCGAGCGGGTAATCCAGGCATACGAGTTCACCAAGCCTCAAGAAGACAGAAGTCGGCGTAATACCTGTTTCGG